AAAGTTATGGATGTACTATTTTATTTTTTTGTTACTATGTCTCAAAACCCAGTGTATACGGTCACATTCAGAGCGCACCTCAATTCGGACCAGCCGCCCGCCGAAGAGCGCGGGTCCCCAGATCTGACCGCACAGCCTGAGTCTCGGACAAGCCTTTGCTCTCTCCAGCCCTCACTTTCCACCCCCCACGCCCCCCTAAAACGACGAGGGATTTCAAACGCCTTTCCACTGCCTTTCTCTGCCTGTAGGAGTCTCTCCTCGTGTGCTCCGAAAGCCACGTCTTTGCCAGAGCCCAGCCCATAGCTGGAAACCTCAAAACTCACCCAAGTCAGGCTAGAGGAGCTGCCACCGCCGCCGGGGGTCTCCGGGGACAGAGCAGAGCCAGGGCCGGGGACCGTCAGGCGGCTGCAGGCGCTGTTGCCCGTCGCCAAGCAGCCGGCAGGCGTCCGCCCTGCGCCCCGCGCCCTGTGCGCAACCCGTCGCCAAGCAGCCGCCCTGCGCCCCGCGCCTGTGCGCAACCCGTCGCCAAGCAGCCGGCAGGCGTCCGCCCTGCGCCCTGCGCCTGTGCGCAACCCGTCGCCAAGCAGCCGCCCTGCGCCCTGCGCCTGTGCGAAACCTGTAGCCAAGGCAGCGCTCCGGCCAACCGCGCCTCCAGGTTTAGGAGCGCCAGGCAGTGGCGTCAATCAAAGTCTGCGAAGCATGGCGCCGGTCGCTGGTTGGTGGGGAGCCCGCGCTCGACCCGCCCGGTTCGTCTCCCTGGCCGGGAGCTGGGCAGCGCGCAGAGCCGCAGGCGACGCCGCTGGAGGGTGGTCGGTTCTGCGGGTTCCTTCGCTCACCGGCCACCCACCCTCCGGGTCCCTCCCACCCTCCTGCAGGAATCTTTTCTCCGTTTCCCCTTCCAGAGGCTTAAGACCGACTGGACGTTCGATTTACATTTTTTTCTGGCCAGAAGAGTCAAGGATCTCTGGAGAGGGAGATGCGTTGTGTGGGCAGTGCCGGGTCCCCCTCTCAAAAGGAGCGACAGTTCAGCATCTGCATCTGCACCCGCATCCCGCCCGCACCCTCCTCCCCTGAGTTATAATACCAACAAGGCCGAGATGCCTTGGAAGACCTCTCAGTCTCTCCCCCTCTCGCTCAGAGGCTGCAGATTTTTGTTAAACAGGATGTGCAGCTTCTCCCTGCAGAGGTCTGTGCTGGGCACCCCACCACTAGGGGGAGCAACATCGCTGATTAATTGACGTCTTTGGCATAAAGGGGGTAATTTTTCTTAGACATTTGAAAATGTGGTGGGAAGTATTTCATACGATGACAAGTAAGATACACCATGTAACAGTTTAAAACAAAGCAATAGCATATGCGTGAACTAAGATTTAACCTGATTAAAATGTGCCTCAGAATCCAGGAAATTAGACATCACACAGTGTGTCCTAAATTCTCACAGTTTGCCTCAGACTGGACCAGCTCCCCGCTGTGTGCAAGTGGGAACGTACTCTACAGACATTTAGGGCCCCCCACTTGTGGGTGTCCAGGGTAGGGTGTGGGAGTGGGGGGCAGGATAACTAGTGGGGGGCAGGATAACTTTAGTCTTTTAAGTAAACCAGGCAGGAAGATAGAACATCAAGACAAGCGACTGCTCCGCTGGCCCTGGCTCAGCAGTGGAGCATCCACCTAAGATCCAGGAGATCACCCTGAGGGCTCCATCCCCAGCAGGGGGGTGCAGGAGGCAACTGATCAATAACTCTCATCGTCCATGTTTCAAGCTCTCTCTCCCTCTCCCTTCTTCTCTCTGAAATCAATAAAGACATATTTTATAAAAAAAATTTTAAAAAAAGAAAGAAAAAGACAGGCTCCTGGCTTCTGTGACTTGCTGTGCAAAATCTAATTTACAATCTGGCTGGGAAAATGCTCCAAATATTGAAAACCTCCAAATGACCTGCTCACAGCCATGAAATATGTGCAGCCCTTAAAGCACCCCAACTGTCCCCTAAACTTCTGCTCCATAGTTGATCGAAGCTGGGTGCAGCCCTAGCCAGCAAAGATTCAGAAACAGGCCTCAGAGAGGCGGATGCAGGATGAAGGCTGACAGCCTAGAGCCATTTTTACGTCAAAAGTACCTGAGAATAACAACAGTGCGTGGGTGTGCGTGCACATGTGTGCGCCTGACTGTGTTCTGTCTCTCTCAGACATTTTCTATCCCTCTCCATGCACTTTTCTTGCCTGTCCCCTAACCCCACAGAACTGGGATGACCACCTCTAGATTAGGCAAAAGAAAGACAAGCTGTAATAATCAGCCAGATCTGATAAAGCAGAATTACCTTGGGACCCTGAGGAGAAAAGGCAAGGTCCTTCTCTTGGGGGCAAAAACCATCAGTACAGTGCTCCAAGAATTTTGTGCACAGTCCAAAGGACAAAGGGGCCTGCTCGAAATTCCCCACCTAGGTGCACCTTGTGACCTATAGCTATATTCCTTACTCCTTTGCCCAGGATGAGAAGCCAAACCCAGTGGAACCTGGCACCTGAGCTCTCACCACATGGTTATCCCTCCAACATGGAGTGCCGGTGGCTCCAAGGACAATTCCTGTGCCTAAGAGGCCAAAGAACTGTACAGTGGAGGTGAGACTGAAGTCAACAGTTTGGCTTGGAACGGCCTCCTGCACTACCCACAGAAACCCAGTGAGACTGGCCCCTGCAGTGATCCTTGATCCATTTCAAAGGAGCAGTGCAGAACTCCACGGCTCTTTCTGCCCAGGAGCTCTTTAGCCAGCCAGTCGACAGGCACTCACCAAACAGCCACCCCATATTTAGCTAACGATAGATGTTTTTATTAATTCCAGCAGTTTTACAGCTCGACCTTCGACATACTGCACTTACAGGCCACCCTTCCCAAACAGAACCTTTTTTGAACAAATATAGAACACTTTCTTAAGAACCAACCAGCAAGGGGGTGGTTTCCTTTACTTACTTTATTCTTCTGAGACTTGTGTACTGAAAAGCCCAGGCTCTTCAGTTTCTCTAAAGTTTCCTTTGAGATTTTTCACTCCTGATCAATTTTTCGAGTCCACTGCCAAGAAGAAATACCTTGATTGAACAAAACATAAGCTACATTTATGCAAATAAAAGTAAACAGAACAATTTTTTTAATCCTCACTTGAGGATATTTTTAAATTGATTTGAGAGAGAGAGGAAGGAGGGGGGAGGGAGAGAGAGAGAGAAAGAGAAACATCACTATGAGAGAGAAACATCCATCGATTGCCTCCCTTACTCGCCCAGACCTGGATGAACCTAGGTATATGCCCTACCCAGGAATCAAACCCACAACCTTTTGGTTCAGGGGACAACACCCAACCAACTGAGCCACTCAGGCCAGGGCCAGAACAATTTTTGTATAGTATACAATCTCAGTGTCAGAAACTTTAAAACTGGAAATTGTCTAGTCATGGTCATCAGAATGTGTTCAATTTTACCTAATCAGCCCAGAAAGAGTTGTGTTTTGAAAAATCACCAATACCAGGTTGTATTGTTTCTTGATCTGGCTCTTATTCATGTGGATGTCTTCATTATGTAAAACTGCAGCGAAATATCCATTTATGAGATGTAGGCTTTTATGTAGGCATACTAAATTTGGATTTTTAAAAATCACTAGTACCTTCTAGAAAATTAGAGAACAAGTACACGACTCCCAGAATGGCCCCAAAATGTTAGGCGTGGTATCCAAATTCTAGGTGATATATGGGCCTGGACCTTCCCAGTTTTCGGAAACCAGGATGCTTTCACCATAGCCCACAGCTTCTGAGAGGAGTTTAGTCTGTTTAACACCAATACTCATATTCATTAGAGGAAAACTTACCATTCACTAGCATTAGGTCTGTAATGTACATTTCTGTATGGATCCAGTCAGTGGTTTTTTAAATTGCCAACAAATTAAACATCCTCGCTATTATAAATTTTAACAATCATCATAACCTACACTAACAAATTCTTATACACATGGGTCCCTGATAAGACATGTGGATTCCCCAAGGGAAGTCCAATGTCCTCATTTTCTATTTACTTTTACAATTTTATGATATTTAAAATTGTCCTACAGTAAACTGCACATATTTAAAATACATATTTTCAAGTTCTAACATCTGTTCAGCCATGAAATCGTCCCTGCAATCAATAAAAAAAATTTCCTTTTCCACCAAAAGTTTCCTGTGCTTTTCTGTGATCAAACTTTCTCCACATCTCCATCCCCACGCAACCATTAATCTCCTTTTGAAAAGTCTATAGATCAATTTTCATTTTTGAGTTTTATATAAATAGAATCA